AAATTAGTATGTTGAAGCCCTAGCCCATAGGGTGATGATACTGGGCGGGGGGGCTTTGGAAGGTGATGAGGTTTAGTGTAGGTCATAATACGGGTGGGACCCCCATGATGGGATTAGTCCCCTTCTAAGAAGAGGATAAGAGAGATCTCTCTCTGTCCAGGAGCACACACTGAGAAAAGGCCATGTGAACACAGTGAGAAGCCAGAAAGAGAACTCCTCAGCAGAAACCGAATCTGCCAGCGCCTTGATCTTGGGACTTCTAGCCTCGAGAACGTGAGAAATAAATTTCTGTTGTTTAAGCCACCCAGTCTTTGGTATTTTGTTATGATGCGCTAGGAGACTAAGATAAGTAGAAACAAAAAATTCCCTAATTTTTGTGAGACAGCATTCATGAAATTACTAGAAAGGAAAGCACAATATTTTTATAGCTCTACTCAAATAGTAGCACCATGTCCAGCATCAGCACCAAACACTCAAACAAGAATCCAAAGAGACATGCACCTAAGAGGAAAGAAACCCGGGAACAAGCAAATGGGAAGATAAACTATTTCAAGAACTGTAGCATATGCATAGAAATCACAGGCTACCTGGAACCTCTGCCCTAAGACCAGGAAGAAAGCTTTCCTACTACCAGAATAACAACTGCCGAACCCGCTTCACTAAACTGGATTTACAACTCGAACCCACTTCACTAAACTGGATTCACGGCTCGATGGTCAGAAGCAGTAAGCTGGCCATATAATAATCACATACCAACATCTCGCGGCCGTAAAGGATTTTGCTGAAAGCTCTAAGTCATAATTAAGGTGCACCTTGCCTTATTTATATAGCAGCTAAGTTCCTAGAAAGTTGCACAAAAACTGAATTTTTGATCATCAAATTGTTTACATTCACTAGAAGAGCTGACCGAAGGAAACGGACTCCCCAGGATGTTTTATAAAGCCCAAGTTCCACACATATCAGACTTGCTCACAGTGAAATGAACCGCCCACACCTACACATGTAACTCATTCCACTTTTCACCAGGTTAGCATTTCCAGCACCCTCTTTGACAACTAACTACACTTCTCAAACCATACTTCAATTTTCAGGTTGAATTTGCTCTTCCCTCCTCCCCCGCTCAGGGTTCTCTATTTCTATACTGTTTCCAGGGCTGTGCTAACTTCTCTTCTGTTCACATGAAGCGAAAGGCACAATCCTTCCTCTCACTCCCCTACGGTTCCTTCTTAGCCGAAGAATTGTAAGAGAAGCACCACAGACTCTCTCGTGTCCTCTATGCCCACTTTGGGAAGTAATGATTTACTCCAAAAGCTTCCTGACTATAACTCAACAGGGTTCAGCTTTGGAATCTACAGCTTTGAGCTGTACTTCCAGGTAGTGGGCAGCCTTGGGAAATTAACCCCAGTAAAGGACTTCTGTCTGTAAAAAAAAAAAAAAAAAGTTAATCCTCTGACACTCAGAAGATTGAGGAATTTTCATAAACAAACTCTCACTCCTAAATTTCTTGATTTTTTTTCCAACCCCTTAATCATTCGTGAAAAGTAAATTTCAACTTCACAGGCAGCGTGCGTTTATTTTGTACCCAATACTGTCAGGTATTACAAAGAAGAGAACAAAGAGAATATAGTGTCTGTCTTCTAGAAGCTTACAGTCTCACTAGGGAAACATGAATAAAACAAGGAACACCACAAGATGATGTACAATTAAGCATCCGTATAAGAGGAGGCCAGAGGAGAGTCTGACTGGTGTGAAAGTTGTCAGGGAAGGCTTCCTAGAAGGAGCTATGACCTCAGAAAAACTCCATTTGTATTAAGCTATAAGGAAAACAAACAAACGTGCTTTAAGACCAACCCATATACTAAAAAAGTTGGCTACTCTAGACTGTTTTAAGTGCCTACTTGCACAGGGCCCGTGGGCATTTCTACACTGCCACAGTCATCTGCCTCTCCGCCGCTCCTTCTGCTCCAGCTGCACTGGCCTCTGCTCTCAGACACATCAAGTATACCTCTTTCTCAATGCCTCTGCTCCCACAGTTCCCCTACCTGAACCCCTTTCCCTCAAGTATGTGAACGGTCCATTCCCTCCCTTCACTTCATTCTAAGGTCATCCGTCAGAGAGGTCTTTCCTAACCATCTTCCTCACTCTCCATCCCCCTCCCTGCTTTATTTTGCTTCTTGGCACTTACCACCCCTTAATAACAGTTGTTGATTTCTTTACTGTTTCTTTCTATGAGATTATTAGTTACATGAGAGCGGAGTCTTTGTTTTATATATGGCCATGTCTCCTACACTGTGAAACAGAGCCTGGCACATAGCAGCTGCTCAATAAACATTAGTTAAATGACCATTAACTATCCTACCATTGTTGTCAAAATGATATAGCAAAGTACTCGAGGTGTGGGTCACCCAGCATTAAATTTTATCTTTTCGGGAGCATTACTTCTCTTTTACTCAGAGTATACCACAAATGTCAACCTTGCCTAAAGCCTTCCTTGACCATTTCAGTAGGAACGATCATCTCCTTCTTCTGGACCCATTGGCACAAATCCTTGGCATACTTCGGCTCTAAATTATGCAGTGACTTGTGACATGCATCCACCCCATGGTATCTCTGTTCCTGTTCTCTGGAACTTTCTCTCTCACACAGATAAACCACACACGCGTGCGCGCGCATGCACACACACACACACACACACATATACATAAGTGCATGCTCTTTTTTTAATTTTTCACCATTTTTGTCTCTCCACCCAGACTGGAAATACCAGGCACCTTAAGGCCAGGGAACTTCTTATATTTTTTAGAAGATTTAGAAGTCCTCCTATACAAACCCTTTATTTTACAACTAAGGAATCAGAGGCCCCAAAAGAAGGGATTTTCTCAGAAGCTTACAGCTAGCTGAAGGCAGGGGGCTAGATCAATGATGATCTGAACACCTGTGTGACATGGTGTGTCAGAACTACAGCAATGAGAACGCATGACCTGAAAAATAAAGATACACACACACACAGAGTGAGAAGAAGATTCTCTGTGGGATAGTTCTGCACCCAAAGGGCCTAATCCACTCCTTCCTCTGCATACTCCAAAGTCCCTACACACTGCTCCATTTCCAAATACTACTATCCTTGGCCAATTTGAAGGCAACAGCAAATAATGGGCCCCAGGAGGAAAGGAGAGGAAAGAGAGGGGGGTGTCTGTTAACCATGATTGACAGAAACAATGAATGAATACAGACATACACAGATTTACCCAGGCACCAAACAGACAGTGCTCACCAGCACCCACCTCCAGTCACCTCTTCTGATCAGCTGATGTTAACCCACATCACCCGAAGTCTCCCCATGTTCCTCAATATTTTTTCCATGGCCCTGAGCTTTTAATTCTCACAATCACTCTGCCTGACAAGAGTTCTGATGGAGAACAAGAGCAGACAAACAGAACAAAAGAATTCAAAAATAAACAGCAAGAGGGTCACTTTACCCAAATGAACACAAGTAACTGAGTGGCCTCTGCAAAGGAGACCCAAAGTCGCACAGCAAACATGCCACGCTTAAATACAGCTCGGTCTCTAACACAGGAAGTCAGGCAGAGCCTTGAAAAGCTGGGAGCGGAGCACAGGAAGTCTTTTAGCACTGCAGGGATTTCCAAGAGTGGTGTAATGGAGAGAGCACAGGAATAGGAATTAGAAGACTAGGCTTCTAGTTCTAGTTTTGCTACCAGCTAACTGGGTGGCCTTAGGCAAGTCACTAGTCTTCTCTGGACTTTTGAGTCCCCATCTACAAAATGTGGTGGTTAAAACATTTGGAGACTTGAATCCCCTCCCAAAAAAGAAAAAACAAAAACAAAAAAACAAATTTAAAAAAAAAAAAACACCCACAAAGATGAAAGCTACTGACTTCCCCACCACCACCAAAAAGTGCATGTAAACTACTCAACGTAAGACTCTTCCAAGGCTATCCAGGTGAAGAACCCCTGAAAAAGAAGATGTCTCTGGTCCCCTCTATCTCTAACATTCTATGATTCTAAGAGAATTAGGCAGGTCTCTGAACAATTGCTCCACCATTTCACAGCAACTCTTCTCCCAACGGAGACCAAATCCTAAAAGGTCCGAAGGTTTCAGCTCTTCTTCAAACTACAAAGCCAACTGACATCATCACTACCTTTCCCATTCCCTACCCAAAACAACCAGCTTATCCTTGAGTCCACAACTCAGAATCCAGTCTCCCAACAGCCCCACAAATTTTCTTTTATACCCCAGGACATTAAAGAGCGGATCGGCATCCTCGGCCCGCCTGTAAGAAGCAACTGGCAAAGGAAGGAGGGGCCCGTCCTGTGTCTCTCTCCAGACTCATTAGCATTGCTCCACAAACTTAATGAGACCGAGCACCACGGTGTCCCCACACCACTACCGAACTCCTGGTACTTCTCACACTCCTTGTGTAACTGATTGAACCCACAAGCTAAGCCACATCCCCTTTGGGCTCTCGAGGAGTTTTCTCGTTTTTCACTCCCTCCCTTATAACGCCGCTCCCCTGCCCCATCGCCGCGTGTGTCTAGAGCTGCCAAAACGGTGTGATTCAAGTCTCCACCACTACCCCCACCTGCCCCCCGCCCCGTCCTCGACTCAGTGCAGAGGCTCTCTGGGCAACAGACCCAGGATCTCCCGGCTTCCACTCCACCCCAAGGAACTAAGGAAGGGTCTGAAGAAATGGAACCCGCCTCAACCATGTTCGATTTCCCCACCAAAACCTATTCACGCGTCGAGCCCCTCGTACCCCCAGGAATCGGGACCCTCTTGAACACCCAGAGATCCTCCTGCACTCTTCGCCTCCAAGCCGGGGGAGCCCGCCCCACCTTCCCCACCAGGCCCCGACCGGCCCCCTCCCACCTCCAAGCCAGGACCCCCGGAGGCCCTCCCCCTCCCGGCCCCGGTACCCCCGCCGCCCTCGCGGCCCCCGAGCCGCACCCCCGCCGTAACGGGGCGCCGTCCCGCGCGGTCACCTGCATCCCGCCGCCGCCGTCGGCCGCCGCCTCCTCGGTGCGCGGCCGCTTGCTCAGGCCGGGCTCGGCTCCGTCTCCTCCCCCTCCGGGCACCGGCAGCTCCAGCTCCGACTCCCGCTTCATCCCCCGGGCAGCGGCGCCGGGCCCGAGCTGAGGCGGCTGCTGCGGCTGGGCGCCTTCCGCCATCCGCCCGCGCCCCCCTCGCCTCCGGGAGCCGGGCGACCCGCGACAGGCCACCTCCCCCTGGGCCTCGGCCCCGACTGTCGCGACAGGCGGGCGCGCGCCTGCCCCCGCCCCCGCGTGCGTGCGTGCGTGCGCGCGCGCGGGCCCGGCGCCCCTCGGCGGCTGGCGGTGGCCGCTCGTCCCTCGCCGGCGGCTCACTCGCGGCGGCCGGCGGGTCGCGACGGGCACTCGCTCGCGCCCCCACGCGCACACGCGACCCCGGCCCGGCCCGGCCCGCCGCGCGCCCCGCCTCTCGCACTCACGGAGCTCGCCCGCCGGCCCGCGCTCGCTCCTTCACACTGTCCCTCGCCACACGCCGGGCCGAGGGAGGAAGGGGGCGGTCCGGGCTCCCGAGGCGTGGGGAGGGCTGTTTGTTTGGGGGGTGGGGGAGGAGGGGCCCGGGGCCGGAACGAGCTGACTGGCCGGGAGCCTCCGACCAGCCACTGTGGCAGCCCCGGGAAGGCGGGCGGAGAGAAAGGAGGAGGGAGGGACCGGGATCTGGAACTCCAACCCGCGCGGGCGGCCGTGGCGGGGCGGGGGCGGGGCCAGCGCCCCTCGGCAATCTCCGCCGCCTCCGCTCCGGGCGTCCGAGGGAGGCCGGGAAGAGATCGGGGGAGTTCGGGAATCTCCGGCCCGGCCGAGGGCTTGTCCTGGAGGCTCCGCGCCGCCGGAGTGCCGGCCCGCGCGGAGGAGGCGGAGTTTGCGTTTTCGGGGCGGGGCCACAGCCCAGGGCGGGCGGAGCTTGAGAGGCCTAAGGGCTAGGGAGGGCCAGTGGTGCGTAGCTGCGACCCGAGTTCGCTCAGGTGGCCGCGAGGGTTCCAGGCAAGGAAAGCGGCGCCGTGGAAGGTTCTTAGCCTGCTCCTCTTCTCGCAGAAGAAAGGGGACCTCGACTTGAAAGGTCCAGGAATGAAGCCACCACTACACGGCTGTCCCCGGTTCTGAAAGACTAATCATAATTATTACCGCATTCCTAATCATGGTAATAACACCTGATGCTTTAAGAGCTTTACAGTTCGCACAAAGCGTTCACAGACCCCCTTCTGAAGTTGTTGGTGTAGGCAGATTAAATACCATGATCTCGGTTTCATTGATGATGAACATGAACCTGAAACTTGGTTAAGTACTGCCCCTAAAAAGTGTTAGGTCCAGAGCTCAGTACACCATATCATATTTTCTGCACCTTGCTGCCTGTGCAGCACTTTGTCGCTTCTCGACGTCCTGCAGCTGGAGATATATGTGCCGCAGTAGGTTTTCTCCTACCAGACTGTAAGCACCAAGAGTGCATCTACCTCCTCTGAGTTCCATGTATGCTGTGTACATTACAGGGATATGGTGATGCTGTGTGAATGACCTGGATTCTGCTACCCAGCTTGACCAAATGACTTCTCTCTGGACCCCTGCTCCATCGTTTGGAAAATGAGGAGCTGGTTTAGATCGGTGGTTGGCAACCAGGGCAATTTTCCCCTTCCTCTCTCCCCCAGGATGTTTGTCAACATCTGGAGACATATTTGTTTGTTAAAGCTGGGAGGGGGATGGGGGGTAAATCTGGCATCTGGTGGGTAGAGGCCAGGAACGTTGTCCAACATCCTGCTATGAACAGGAGAGTCCCCACAACAGTTATCCAGCCCAAAATGTCAATAATGCTGAGGTTGAGAAACCCTGGCTTAGATGATTTCTAAGGTCATTTCCAGATGGGTCTATGATTTGTCCTTTGAACTGGGGTTTAACCTGGCTAGTGCTATAATAGTACAGTGGTAAAGATCCTTGCTTTGGAGTCAGACCAACACAAATTTGAACCCAAGCTTTACCACCTACTACCCATGTAATGTTGAGCTAGTGATGACAGAAGAATTCCTATACAGAAAGGATTTAGGGCCCGCACACTGCTTGGAAGGCAAGACTGAAGGGATTGCCTTGAAGCTGAGCACATTTTTTAAAATCTAAGCTGTGTTATAGATAAATAAAAATAACCAAGTTTTAGCTCTGCCATTTGCAAGTCTCATTTGCCTTGTAAAACCTTCCTTTCCTCTCTATGCCTCACTTTCTTCATATAAAAATCAAGATAGGGGCACCTGGGTGGCTCAGTGGGTTAAGCCTCTGCTTTCAGCTCAGGTCGTGATCTCAGAGTCCTGGGATTGAGCCCCATATCAGGCTCTCTGCTCAGCAGCTCTGCCTCTCTGCCTACTTGTGATCTCTCTCTCTCTCTGTCAAATAAATAAATAAAATCTAAAAAAAAAAAAATCAAGATAATAATAGTATCTCCCTGAGATGCATGGGTGGCTCAGTCGGTTAAGCATCTGCCTTCGGCTCAGGTCATGATCCAAGGGTCCTGGGATGGAGTCCTGAGTCAGGCTCCCTGCTGAGCAGGAAGCTTCTCCCTCTGCCTGCTGCTCCCCCTGTTTGTGTGCTCTCTCTCTCCCTGATAAAGTCTTTAAAAAAATAATAATTGTACCTCCCTGAAGGGATTGTTGTGACGCTTAAAGGAGTTATCACATACTAAGAACTTCAAACAAATTGCCCAACAGTGAGTCCTCAATAAATGTTAATTATTATTATTACTATTACCATGGTCATTTTATTCACGTTTTAAATGAGAGTGAAAAAAGTTGATTATCAAGATCAAAGACTGTCAGTATCACTACTATTGGTTTTTAAATTTACATCAGATGACCTCAGTGTGGCTGCTAGAGATTAAGATAGGCAGACAGAGTTCAGAGTTCCCCAAATCACCCCTCAGTGTTGGGCAAATCATTTATTTTCACTAAGCCTTATATTCCTTGTTTGTAAGATGACAACAGCAGTCACAGTGTTTTTCTAAGGATTAAATGAGACAAAATAATGCACTTAGCATAGCCCCTGACATATAGCGACTGCTTAACAAGTAGTAAATATTTATCATCCAATTTGTTTAGTGATTGTAAGCTACCGGCCAGGGGCCCATAGGGCTGGAAGGAGAAGCCTAGCATCTCTTAATACTGCTACTTGGGCAATATTCAGGATTCCATTAAGTTGGAAGTATAAATGCCTGTAAGCTTCTTGAGCTGAATTAGGCAACCACAACTTAAGTCAGGGGTCCCTGCTGGCAGCGCCCCCACAGCTGAGGGGGCTTGAACCCATCCAACCAAGCATTATGGCTTTGAAGAAAAACCAGGATATTTCCTTGTGAGGCTGTGGAACAACGATTTTTTTTTTTTAAACCTAGGGACATCAGTGGTGAGCTTTCTGAAAATTTTACCTTCCAAACTGGTATCTTAAAAATTATCCTCCTGTCCCTACCTGCCTTGCCAACATACTGGAATCTAAATGATGCTAGCTAGGTCCTTCCTGGCCTGCTCCATGACCCAGCAAGAAATGAGATTTGGGATTGGAGCTACTTGTGACTCAAATCAGTGTTATTCAAGTAGTGCACCTGCCCCTAAGAAATAGAGTGATATAGTATAGGAATGTTTGAATGACCAGGCAGAACAAAGAGAAATTGGACCCTGCCCTGTATAGAAGCATGAAGCATTTAGGGAGAGAGAGACTAGAAGCCTGTAACTAGTGGAAGAGGCCAGAGGCACCCATGGTGACACAGAGACCAGATTCTTTCTTGCATATCACATCTACAGCTACCTGTCTGGATACAGACTAGAAAACATTACAGAGCTTCGAAGAGGACAATTAAAGAACATTTTCCTAGAAAAAAATTTTTTTAAAGATTTTATTTATTTATTTGAGGGAGAATGAGTGAGAGAGAGCATGAGAGAGGAGAGGGTCAGAGGGAGAAGCAGACTCCGCAAGGAGCTGGGAGCCCAATGTGGGACTCGATCCTGGAAGTCCGGGATCATGACCTGAGCTGAAGGCAGTTGCTCAACCAACTGAGCCACCCAGGCGCCCTCTAGAAAGAATTTTTAACTGCAGAAACTACTGAAGTCCTAACATTTATTCATTTATCCACTTAACAAACTATGGGCAAGAGTCTAAGATACCAAGGGGAGTAGAATTGATTCCTGGTACCAAGGAGCTCCCAGGCTAGGGAAGAAGGGATGAACAAATAAAAAGACAATGGCAACACACCATGCTAAGGAGGTCATCTCTCATAGCAGTTAAGGATATAGCCTCTGGCATCAAGCAGACATGGGTTGGAATCTGCCTTGGCCACATATTTGACCTTGGACAAGACCCTGAGCGTCTCTGATGCCTACTTTCTTCATTTGTGTGACAAGCATGGGTAGTTTCTAATCCAATATCCTCTTCTTTCTTACTGGCAGGACTCCAGCTTTGCTCAGAACAGAAACCTGCCCAGCTTTAAGAGGAAAAAAAAAATGCAGAATTCTCGGGTTCCCTGGTAGCTAAGTGTGGCCACACAACACAGATCTGGCCAGCAAGATGTAGGTTAGCGACAACATTCCCTTCCCAACTAATAAGACAAAACCCCAGGAAGAAGAGGCTCTTTGCCCTTCATCATTTGCTATCTGCCCTTCCTCCTGCCTGGAACACAGATTGGGAAACAGCAGATCTCTTGTTTCCACAGTGACAAAAGCTACATGCTAAGAATCGTATTATAGAACCACCATAGCAGCCTTACCCATCTACTTCCCATTTATGTTATTTGAGCAAAAATAAGTTCCTGTTTGGTTAAGCCACTGTGAACAGGTTTCTACCTGCAGCCAAACTTAACACCTAATTCATATAACCTATAAACTGAGAGTAATAATAGTACCTCCCCCTAGGGTTCTTCTGAGCATTAAATAATGCATGCAAAGCACTTAACAGGACACCTGGCTCATAGATACACTCAGCAAATGGTAACTTAAACCTTCTTACTTCTATTATTACTCCTATTATCCTTATTAATATGATTACTCTATGTGCCAGCATCTCTAGGAGCATATGAGAAGATGGAACTCCGCCTGCCTAAGGCAGCTAGGACAAGCTTCACCGAGAATGTTGTGTTTCCTGTAGGTCTTTAAAAGTGAGGAGGAGTTTCCCAGGATACGGGTTCTGATCAAAAGTGGGGAAATTCTTTTGTGCCTGCAACGGCTTGGGAGGGATGCAGTACCGTTTACCAGGA